ACATGATAGTGCAGCGTATAATCTTGACACGTTAGATACTGTGCCACTGCCACCAGTGCCTTTGAGTAACAGAGCAGATGCGAATTTCTATGAAGGCCAGGCATTTTTCCATATCAAATTTCTTACCACAATGTGATATGGATAAAGGCCTGTCCATCATAGAAATTCAAATCTTCCTTGTGATCCAAGGGTACTCGTGGCAGCGTGGCGCAGTGGTTGACTTGTCGAGACTATTAGCTAAACTATCCGGGTTCGAGTCCAGCTTGAGGGGCTGATGAGATCAAAACTTCAGTCCACTCCTGCCTGGATAAGAGTATCTTTTAGGAAAACAAGGCTATTTGAAATTCATTAGAAATGTTAGGGAAAATTTATTTGCCAGTCTTTTCCCACCTTATCGAAATAGGATAATAGATCTCATATAATGAATAGTTGTCCATCATTGTGAGGTTTCGTACTTGAAGCTGGCATGTCAACAATTTCACTCACTAAGGCTCTGGTTACATCTCTCACATGTTAAAAGTCTATATGACTGAAGGGAGGAGTAGAGAAGATGACCTGGTCGAAACAAATTCACTTAAAGCCGAATGCTGTCGTCATGCAACAAGCAAACTCGGGTAAGTAAGGCGTTAGTAGGCACAACAATCTCGAATGGGCTTGGTCGCTTAGACATGGATAAACCTTGCTATTTGGGTAACTTCACGCCAACCTTGAAATGTAGAAGGTCCGCAAATTATTTTTCATTTATAAGTAGGCTTTCGAGACTATCAGTGGATCATCTGTATAGGAAGTGTATTCATCCCACTTCATTTAAGGTAATAAGGGGACCGATAGTTGAATTTCCCAACTCATGTCATTGTGATAAACTCAAGTATCCCTTATCACCCAAAACGAAATAGGGTAAATACATCTCATATATGTGATATACTGGAATTCTTGAAAGCCTACTTATATAAGGAGAAATATAGCCCGTTGTTATTTCAAATTCAACCTTTCTTAATCAACAATCGCACAAATGGTGATATGAAAAAATGCATGGCCTTCTTTGAAATTGACACAATCCCTGCGAACCAAGGGCATCCGTGGCAATTTGACGTAGTGGTTAAAGTGTCGAAATTGTATGCTCCATTGTTATGATTCGAGTCTTACTGAGGAAGCAGGTCTATGTGAAATTAAATGGAAACGTAAGACGTATTCATATAATTGTGGTATAATTTAACCACCAGTTCCCTTATCACTTTAAACGAAATATGAATATACTTCACATTTGATAGTCATTGTGCACTCCAATTAACTTTTTCCCCTCGCTTTTATTAAAGCCCTTTAATCATTTTCTCGCCCAGAATCCAACTTTGGATTGGTGATTAAAATCAGCAACTATGTTTTGATCACAAAATGGCGATCTTATCTTTTTCTACGTTCATTTAAACCATTTAGTTTTGATAACTTAAATAAGTCTTTTATACTCTCTAGCAAGCGTAGTCCTGAGTGATTGCTGGCCTTCGACAAGTGGTAAGGGATAAATTTTACCGTGCGATCAGTGGCCGTTTATACTTTGTTTTATACCCATTGAATTAACTGTTCCTTGTCTAGTTCGCTTTTCTTATTTGTTTTTTATTTTAACCCAAGCATTTTAAAGCTCTAAACTTTTCTGAAGCTTATACACGCTTTAGCAGCAAAAAACTCGTATTCTCGACAGAAATCATATTTTTTATTGCAGCAAGGATTCTGAAGGTCAACTTCGCAAGCTCTTCTTCGTCGACCCCAAACAGGGTTGTCAGAAATCGTCGATTTCCAAAGACGTCGTCACGGCTGAGCCTGTGACTCTGGAGATAGCTGACGCATCTTTGTCTGGCGATATACTTGCACAGTTTCAGCAAATGAATATCGCTGTACCCACAGATGCCAAACCCTTTTGCGAGCTTGATGCCACAGTCTCTATGCCCTTAACGACAGCCGCTACTGATTTGGGTAACTTCAGCATATGTTCTAGCCACGAATACCTCTTTCTGATGCTTTCGTGTTAGTGATCGGCATTTCATGAATCTGGAGCTTGCGGATGATCCAGAGCTTATTCTTATTCGGAATGTAATTGATGGCATTATAATAATTCGATGACATTATTGTATGGTAAAATAAAGTATTATTCGAAATAACAGTAGGCCTTTAATGAAAACTTGAGTTACTCTAGACTATTTTCCGTGAGTAGTGACTAATAGTTGCCTTTACAGTCACTTCTACCTTGTGACCCAATGGCGTCTGTGACTATGTGGCGAAGTGTTGACGTCTTGCCATTTGATGCACACTGCTCGATTTCGAATCCCTTTGGTAGTGCTGACGAGGCCTAGGTGAGGTAAAAAGGGCAATCCAGCATGGAGGAGAAAACTTTTTGAGAGGTAAGACTATATGAAGTATGGGGACTAGTCGTTTTATTGTGAGAAACTCAACTATTATTCCTTACATCTAATCGCAACATAAAGTGGCCTAAAATCTTATCCAAAAAGTATCTTAACATGTTCTCCTAACTAACTACATACTATTCTTAGTGTCCCCATATATTCTATGTTTTTGCTTACTTACTTTCTCCAGACTTTATTTGCATTTTTGCTACACACAAGTTTAAGAAGCAAGGGGCTATTTTTATTAGGAAAATGTCTAATTTTCATTCTATATTTATTAGCCAAAATGGTGGCTATTTTTGCGATCAAACAGGATCCCATAGCTAAACATCGTATCTGTTCACATTGTTAGACAATTCGTGTTCTTTATCACGAAGGTCCTTCTTAAGCGAAACCGTTTCTGTTAATGTCAAGCAAAAAAACACTTAATTTCTATCTGTTTACCCTTTCTTTTATTCTTTTCTAAGAGTCTCAAGCCAATGAAACTCGAGATTCAACCTTATGCGGCTCTGTATCCGCTCTCACGTCCCCTCAAGTTAAAGGGACTGTCGACTTACCGGGTCCATGC